GGGTGGGGGGGGGGTTGTCTGGGGATGCTCTGAGATTCTGCATTTCTAACCAGCTCTAGTCCACACTGCTGGTCTGAGCTCCGGGGCTTCTCCAGAGCCAGCCCATGTGACTCACTCCTGAGCTCTCAGGATTCACCCCCATATCAGAGCTGTGTGCACCCCCTTTGCTCACGGGAAGAGCGCTGACAAGTTGCTTTTCAGCCAAGGGCCACAGTGATTCTATGGCTGACGCAGAGGCCACAGGGAAAACAGGCTCTGGGCGGCGCCTCGGCACCGTCACCTCCTGGGAAGTGACCAAACCAGTCCGGGCGCACTTGCCGAGGGTCCAGCTGTCACCTCCACCAGCAGAACAGGAAGGAGCTGGACCCTGCCTGAGCAGGCCCATCCTTTGCCGGGGCCCTAAAATGCAGTCTTTACACCCCCAGCTCTGGGTAATGACGCCATTGAGTCCCGGCTCCCTGCCCACAGGAGACGGGGCACCGCCAGGGCCGCCCCCAGCAGTCCTGTGCACATGGGGTGAAGGTGGATTTCCCCAAATACAGGAAACAGGGCTTGCCTTTTCCCTCGGCCGTTGCTAGTGGGTCTCCCAGAGCCCAGCTGGTCCCCTGGGAGGGGCGAGGACAGGCCCTTCTCCCTGTCCTTGCCACGCGTGAGGACGCCGGCGTGTGAGTAGTCTGCAGCACTAAGCACCTCAGGACTCGGAACCCAGAGGTGAAGCTGGAAGGCAGCTGCGAGGTTACCTGTCTCCTCTGGCTGCAGGCAGGAACTCATCACAGCATCCCACTTCATGCCACGCAGCCCGCCCTCTTCCCTGCCCCTAACCCAAGGCTGCTGGTGAGTCCCGGGGCGTCATCTGGGCCTTGCTAAGGGGAGGTGAGACGGGAGCAGCTGGGCCACCCTAGACTTGTTTCCACCTCGCCTAGTGTATGTTTCCCTCAGGGGGAGGGCTGGGAGGGCTGAGGTGTGCAAGTCAGACTCACCACCATGTGTCCACGTGGGTACACTCCAGCACTGCATGCAGAGCGAGAAAGGTGCATTCGCAATGCTTGTGCATGTGCACAGACTCACGTGCACACACATCACCTGATGCATGCGGTGATAAAGATGTCACGTGCACACACTCCACCTGATGCATGCGGTGCTAAAGGCGCCTCACATGTGTTCATACGCACACACTCAAGTGCACACGCATGCACCCCTGGCCTCCGATGGGGGGTAAGGACGCTCACTCCCGTTCCCTGTGTGAGCACCAGCGCCCTGTGCCTGATGGGTCAGAGGAACGAGCACAGATGGCTTCGAGCAACCAGCACAGGAGCAGGAGCCGGGCGACAGCATGGGGCTGGTTTTTGCTCTCTTAACTGGGAAGCTGGTATGCTGTATGCTCTCATCTTCTTTTGAGCTTTCTGAGCTAGCATCTGGCTGTCTTTGAGGCTAAGCAAGGAGGGCCAGGGAGGCCCCTCGGCGCCATTCCAAAGTGACCTTTGAGGTTGCTGCTTAACCTAACCTCCACCGTCTTGTACATTTTCTAGGCACTGCAACCTGTTTTGATCCTACAGCGTGGGGATGTCCGAGCGGAGAGGGGAGTGAGTGGGCTGGCTGTCACTGGAGCTGTGCAGCTTTGGGCAGTTGTCTCCGGCTCTGAGTCTGAAATCCTCCTCTGTTGACAGGAAGGTTGCTGGTCTGGAGGCTTTTTTGGTGAGCCTTTAAAATCCAGCATGACACACACACCGCACCAGGGTGGACTGCGTAGGATGCATCTCTGCCCCCCGGCTCCCCACGACTCTCCCAGTGCAACCCCAGGTGGAATGGCTGCCCGCTGCTCTGACTCCAGGCACGTCTCTACCTTCATTTCTGCACAACTTTCCTGCCCAGCAAGCTTGATTACTGTCCTGGTTCTATCATTCGACACACCTGTTATCCCTGTAATCCTGGTCAGTTATTAGAGTTAACTGGAAAGCTCCCTGGGTCTACAGAGAGATCACAGATCAGAGGCTGGAAGCCTCCGACACTGTTCACCGGCTGACATTAACCCATTCACCTCCTGCTGACACTGAGGTCATCCAACCCCCACGATCTCTCCTGAGCAGCTCAGGGCCTGGCCCGCACATTCAGGAGGCAACAAACACATTGACAAACACTTGGCTGGACTTAGGGCTGGTTACATTCACTGCATTTTTTGCTTGGATTTCAATGTTCCTAAGGCATCTGCTTTATCATACCAGAATGTTGCAACGCATCAGCCTCATTGGGGCAGGCCCCTTACCAAACACCCAAGGAGCACAGGGCCAGAAGGTCCCAAAGGCCACCACAGGAGGCTAGTCTCCAGGCCCCACTTGTGGTTCTATCGAGAACAGCTCCCTCTTTTTTACTGGGCTCCTATGTGAGATATCCATTAATATGAGGCTGGTGCTGCTTAAAAAGGCTTGAGAACATCCATCCTCCACTGTATAGGTCAGGAAACTGAGGCTCAGAGAGGGGGAGTGATTTCCCCAAGGTCACCCAGGAAAAGGTAGAATCTTTAGATTCTTCTAGGAAAATTCCCCCCACATCCTGAGGACTAGGAAAACATGATGGCACCATCGTGGGCTTGTAGCTCCTGGCCCCTGAGGGTCTTCAGAGTGCCAGGTTGGGTGTATGTGGGGAAGGGGCTTGTCCCTGCCCGAGGGTGGCTGTGAGCGTCCCTAGGGACAGCCCTTTCTAAAGGCTGGTGGCCACCGCGCTGAGGTAGTGTAATTCCAGCATTGGCCGGCAGAGGGAGCGCTCGCCCGAGGCTTGGCCCTGCAAGGCTGGACTCGGGAATGGAGGAAGAAAATGGGCAGGGGGCTGGGAGGTGAAGCACTCCCTCTGTCAGGGACACTAGAGACAGTTCCCCAGTCAGCAGGAGGACCTGGGACTTTTCATGGTGAGGGTGGAGTAGAGAGGAGGCACCGGCCGGTACCCCGACCACCTGGCCTGTACCCCGACCATCTGGCCTGCATGACATCACTTCTGTAGCTGGTCTGTTCGACCTTGACCTGAGCCTCAGGGAACTGGAAACCCACTCTCTGTCTTTGGTTTCACTACCTTCTTTATCCATAGACTCTCAAACATGGAGAGGAAGAAATGGACAGAGTGTGGCCCAGGCCTGGTCAGTTTCCATGCAGAACAGGACCCCTCAAAGCCTAGAGTAGACAGAGGTTTCTGGAGCCAACCACTGGGCTCCAGTTCCTACTGGGACGTTCTCTGGGGTTCAGAATATGGGGAAGAGAGGAAGGGGCACTGTTAATGCCCTCTGAGATTCTTGGGCTGCAAGTAAATGGACACAAGGGGAGCAAAATGGCCTGGCCAGCCAAGAGCAAGAGCCATGCTTGAGACGGTGCATCCCATGGAGGAGACGATGATGGGCAGCATTTACTGGACGTGCTATCCACTCTGCAATGAGCTAAGCGATTTACTCATATGTGGCTAATCTTGATACATCACCCCCAGGTATAACCAGCCCCATTTATGAATGAAGAGCTGAGGAGCTGAGGCGGAGGCATGAAATAACCAGCTCCAGGTGGCCTGGTGCCTCTCTCAGGGCTATGGCCCTCTTCAGCAGCTTGGGGTGCAGCTTATCCTCAGGTGTCCAGAGGGATATGGACTGGCCGCACAAGATGGGCAAGGAACCCCATACCGGCAGGCTGTCCAGGCACACTGCTGTCCAGGCACACTGCTGTCCAGGCACACTGCTGTCCAGGCACCCACATGAAGGAGCAGACGCATGTACGTGCACACACCTACATGCACACACACACGAGAGTCCTCTATGCATTACCTGAACACCTACACCTAGGTACGTGCAGACACACCCAAGCACCCACACGGGCTCCGTGCACACACACACAGGCGCACACACATCGGTGCATGCCCATACCTGAGCCCACACTCAATATGCCTCCCAGGCATCTGCTCCATAGAAATTCAAGTTGACCCCAGGCCCCAGGCCTTTTCCTTCAGGTTTTCTGGGAAAAGAGTAATCACGTGACTCACTCCTGGTTGCAGAGAGGAGGGGAGAGGGCAGTGCAGGGCCCGTGCCCGCGGACGGCCAGATTTTGGAGCTCTCGGCCAAAGGAAGAGGGCGTGGGTGGAATGCTTCCAGACAACACCGTCCCCTCACCCCCCTCCAGCTCACCTGCAGGCAGGCCACCCCGATGCCCACCGCGCCCATGAGCAACAGGTGGTCAGCCAGGAACTGCTCCAGCTTGGTGATGCAGCCTCCCTGGAAGGTAAAGGCAGGTGATGCACACCTTGGAGGGGCGGAGGAGAATGCAGCCAGCTAGCTGAGACACACGGGAGCTGACCAGGGCTTTGAACCGCTCACAGGCTTCCAGGGCTCCTTCTCGAGGCCCTCAGACCTTCCCGGAATAGTCCCCGGGGCTTTGTGGAAATCTGAGGACGCAGCTGCTGCTGGCCCCTCCCGCCTGCCTGACCCGCCCCCCCTGGGGGCTCCTGGGGGGGTCCACGTGGCAGGTGCCCGGCGGGCACTCACCTCCACCTTGTAGATGTTGGAGGGGTGGGCCCGCAGGCCACAGCGCGGCACCACCGTCTTGCAGCAGCTGTCGGGCACCCGGCGGCCCTGGGCCTCCTGCGACAGGATGTAGGCACTCAGCTGCCAGTCGGCCAAGCTGCTGCTCCCGCAGCACTTGAACTGTAAGGGGAGAGGGCGGTGAGGCACAGCCGGCCGGCCGGCTTGCACACCTGGTCTCTCTTCATTCTCTAGATGTTTCCGTCACCCCGTTCCAAACAGGGGCTGATGTCTCAGGCAGAATTCACCAGCAGGGCACCTGTAGCCACCTTTTCTATTCATCCAGGTGGGTTAAGATGATGCCGGGGAGAGGGGGTGCTGCGTACCATTGGGGGCAGGAGCCCAGCTGATGAGCCGGGGCTAGGGGGTAGTTTCTGGTCACCCTAAGAGGGGGCCCACCCCGGGACAGGGGCCCAGTTCAGCCCATCAGGCCTCGAGCCCTCACACCCGAGGGGACAGAGGGTTCCAGAGGTCACCCGAGGGGTGGCCAGGTGAGCGTGCCGTGAGGCTGCGGAAGACCTTGGATCTTCCAGACCCGTCCAGGTGCAGGCCCGGGTCTACACTGGGGACCTGGGGGCCAAACCCCGACAGGCCCCTGCACAAGGCTGCCTGTGGATGGCTGGTGGGGGGCACAGCGTTTGGCCTCTCCCGTGTCCCAGGAGTGCAGCCGGCCACGGGCTCAGGCCTGAGCCATGCGGGGTGTTAGTGAACACCCAGTAGGAGCGACAGCGGCAGCGTGTGTGGGTGCAGAGGGCTGGGCAGAGCGGGAGCGCCCACCCCTGTGTGTCTCTGCCTGTGTGCAGCCTGGGCAGGTCACTTAGCTTCCCTGGCCTCAGTTTCCTCATCTGCGAAGTGGGGGTGATGAAACAGCCTCTCCCAGGCTCTTGCAGGAGACATTCACGCCAACTGTCCCAAGTGACTCGCACGTGCTCCGGGCGCAGCGGGGCCCGGGTGTGGGCCTGGCCGGCGGCCACTGCCTTCGTGCGCTCTGTTCTCCTGCACCCGAAAATGGGCTTGGGGCTGTGCTCCGCCACGCCTCGGCCTCTGACCGTCAGGGCCCACGGGGCATGTCCAGAGGCTCCAGAGTCGCACGTGAGGTCCCATGTGCGTCCGAGCCGCACACGGGGCTGAGCAGCAGGCTGCGTGGAGGCTAAGCGCACGGTGTGTCCACGGGTGCCTCGGCCGTGTGTCTGAGGACCCTCTGTGCAGAGCCCACTGGGGCTGAGCCAGAGTCTTGGGGAGACGGGACGCCATCTCCCCCAGTGAACTCAGGCGCCTGGAGCTCACATCGCACCGACCTCTGCTCGGCTGACACTCCCGACTCGGAGGCATCAGGCCTAGGGTGGGGCCCGGCAGAGACCGCCCAGGGGGACAGGGGAGGGGGACCGAGGCTGCCGCGTGGAGTTGCCTCAGATTTTCAGACATGGGGCCAGGATCCTGGAGCCACACTGTCCAGCTGAACTTTCTGCAAGGATGGCAATGCCTGGTCTGGGCTGTCCAGCTTAGGGCTGCTCACCACAGAGGGCGACTGGGCACTGGAAATGCAGCTGGCCTGCCTGAGGAACTGAAATCTGTATTGACTGGAAATGTCAGTAGCCCCTGTGGGTAGCGGCTACTGTCCTGCACGGTACAGGGCCGAGGCCCGCTCCATCTGTGCTCACGGGGTCAGGGCAGTGGCCTCACTGAAGGGAGCTGTTGGGTCTCCTTTTGCAAGGGGGAGACCACAGTTCCGTCCCCACACTGAGCAGCGGCTTAACGGAATACCTCTCCCGGGACGGCCGGGGACTGCCGCCTCCCGGCTCTCAGAGGAAGAAGGTGGAGCTCTCCTGACCAGGCCAGCTTCCTGCCACAGGGCCCCGGAGGCGGGAGGCAGCCAGGTGGGGCCTGGGGGCGGTAGTTGGAGTGCAAGTGGGGGAAGAGGAGGAAGCAAAGACCTAGAATCAGCAGGCACTTGCCATGGCGCGTGGAATTTGTATACAGGGGTACAGGCTTAGTGCTCACCTGCTTCTGAGGCTTCATTTTTTAGTAGGTGGAACATGAAGCTCAGAGAAGGGAAGCGATTTTCCCTGGGTCACACAGGAAAGGGACAGAGCCAGCATTTGCACCCACGTCTGGGTGGCCTGCAACCCCAGGGAGAAGGCTTACATCTTGCTGCAGTCGGTCCACTGAAGAGGTGATCTCAGCTGCTCCGGGCTGTCCGTAGTTCTCGGCCAGAGTGTGGGTCAAGTGCAGCTTCAGTTCGTCACTCAGCTGAGGAGGGTGGAGAAGGCGGAGGTGTCGGGAGACCCTCCCACCCCTCCCCAGGCCACACCACGCCACACCAGCTGAGCCTTGAACACTATAGATCTCAAATGGCGCGTTACCCCAGATAGAACTGGGGCCCTCGGTGAGAGACCCCACAGACAGAGCGGGGTCCTGGACACAGGGCCGAGGTGTGGGGGCAGAGCTGAGAGAGACCGGGGCAGTTGGAATGGGGGCTGGGGGCAGCTCTGAGGGCCCGTGAAGACAGGCGCAGGGCACTTGGCTTGTCTGTTGCTTTCTGTTCTGAGCATAAGGTGATATTGAAAACAGTCTCAGTCCTTATCTGTGGGCACCTGTCAGGACGGGAGCTGGCTTGAAACGACCAGCTGAATGTCGACCTGGTCTTGACCTTGAACAGGTGCCCGGGGGCACAGGGTACCCAGAAGCTGCTTCACCTTTGTCCGGCCCAGCGGGGAGGCCTGTTCTAGCCTCAGAGCCACCATTTAGCTCAAGGCTTTCTCGTGGCTGCCTGACACCAGATTCATCCCCCGTGTGTGTGGTGGGGGAGCAGAGGGGGGCACCGCCCCCGGACACCCACTCCCGCTCCCACGCTGGGCTTGAGCAGCAAGAGATGGATAGAGAGTTGCTGCACGGAAGAGGACCTGGACATGCCGAGGTTGTCCGGGCCTGGGAGATACGGCCATGCTGTCTCTGCCTCCGTTTTCTCACCAGAGCTATGTAACCCTCCCCCTGCTTCTGCGCTGGCTGGGAGGAGGACATATCCACTCACCCTCTGGTAGTACACGTGGGCCAGGACCCCTGCGACCAGCTCAACGAGGAAGATCACCAGCAGGAGGCAGAAATACTAGGAGCAAGAGGAGACACAGTCACATGGGGCTGAGGACGGCGGGCAGAGGGTGTCAGCCCTCCCATGATAGATGTTTCCCCGAAGCGGTGTGGTTGGTGGGGCAGCCTGTCAGGGACCCCCTCACCCACACCATCTTCCTAACAGCTCTGGGCATGGCTGCCTGTGCTGGCGGCTGGCCTGGGTTCAGTTTGTTCATCCAGTTTCCCATCCAGTATTTATTTAATACCTATTACAGGCCAGGCACCACAAGACATTTTCCTCAAAGCTTTGTGGTCAGGGGCCAGGTAAGTGATTTCAATGCTGTGTCATATATGCTACTACAGGACGCGGCCTTAGAACATTGGGAGGTCCTGTTGGGGGAGAGCAGTCAC